GAACTCTTGGGTGAATACCATCTGGTCCTGGTGACTTATTACTGTTTAGTTTATCAATTTGTTCCAAAACCTCCTCTAATGACACCTCAATCTGGGACAGTTCCTCAGATTTGTCACCTAAAAAGAATGGCTTAGGTTTGGGAATCTCCCTCACATCCTCAACCGTGAAGACCAATGCAAAGAATTCATTTAGTTTCTCTGCAATGGCCTTATCGTCCTTGAGTGCTCCTTTAGCATCTCGATCGTCCAGTGGCCCCACTGGTTGTTTAGCAGGCTTCCTACTTCTGATGTTCTTAAAAAAAATGTTTGCTGTTACTTTTTGAGTCTTTGGCTAGTTGTTCTTCAAATTCTTTTTTGGCCTTCCTTCCTAATTATATTTTTATACTTCATTTGCCAGAGTTTATGCTCCTTTCTATTTTCCTCACTAGGATTTAACTTCCACTTTTTAAAAGGATGCCTTTTTGCCTCTCACTGCTTCTTTTACTTTGTTTTTTAGCCATGGTGGCTCTTTTTCAGTTATCTTACTATGTTTTTTAATTTGGGGTATACATTTAAGTTGAGCCTCTATTATGGTGTCTTTAAAAAGTTTCCATGCAGCTTGCAGGGATTTCACTTTTGGTGATGTACCTTTTAATTTCTGTTTAACTAACCTCCTCATTTTTGTGTAGTTCCCCTTTCTGAAATTAAATACTACAGTGTTGAGCCGTTGTGGTGTTTTCCCCACCACAGGGATGTTAAATTTAATTATATTATGGTCACTATTACCAAGCGGTCCAGCTATATTCACCTCTTGGACCTGATCCTGTGCTCCACTTAGGACTAAATCAAGAATTGCTTGTCCTCTTGTGGGTTCCAGGACTAGCTGCTCCAAGAAGCAGTCATATAAGGTGTCAAGAAACTTTATCTCTGCATCCTGTCCTGAGGTGATATGCACCCAGTCTATATGGGGATAGTTGAAATCCCACATTATTGAGTTATTTATTTTAATAGCCTCTCTAATCTCCCTGAGCATTTCACAGTCACTATCACCATCCTGGTCAGGTGGTTGGTAATATATCCCTACTGCCATATTCTTATTATTCAAGCATGGAATTACTATCCATAGAGATTCTATGGTACAGTTTGGTTCAATAAAGATTTTCACTTCATTTGATTCTATGCTGTCTTTCACATATGTGCCACTCCCCCACCAGCACGACCTGTTCTGTCCTTCTGATATATTTTGTACCCTGGTATTACTCTGTCCCATTGATTATCCTCATTCCACCAAGTTTCTGTGATTAATTATGAGTTTGGTGCTCTAATGTATTATGCAGGTTGAACCTCTCTAGTCCGGCACTCTCGGGACCTGACTGGTGCCGAACCAGAGAATTTGGTTTCCTGGTGCAAGTGCTGGAGGAACCAACTGGGGCAGAGCTCTTCTTGACCTGCTGCTCACAAACCGGGAAGAATTAGTAGGGGAAGCAAAGGTGGATGGGAACCTGGGAGGCAGTGACCATGAGATGGTCGAGTTCAGGATACTGACACAAGGAAGAAAGGAGAGCAGGAGAATACGCACCCTGGACTTCAGAAAAGCAGACTTAGACTCCCTCAGGGAACTGATGGGCGGGATCCCCTGGGAGAACAACATGAGGGGCAAAGGAGTCCAGGACAGCTGGCTGTATTTTAAAGAATCCTTATTGAGGTTGCAGGAACAAGCCATCCCTAAGTGTAGAAAGAATAGTAAATATGGCAGACGACCAGCTTGGCTTAACAGTGAAATCCTTGCTGATCTTAAACACAAAAAAGAAGCTTACAAGAAGTGGAAGACTGGACAAATGGCCAGGGAGGAGTATAAAAATATTGCTCAGGCATGCAGGAGTGAAATCAGGAAGGCCAAATCGCACTTGGAGTTGCAACTAGCAAGAGATGTTAAGAATAACAAGAAGGGTTTCTTCAAGTATATTGGCAACAAGAAGAAAGTCAAGGAAAGTGTGGGCCCCTTACTGAATGGGGGAGGCAACCTAGTGACAAAGGATGTGGAAAAAGCTAAATGTACTCAATGCTTTTTTTGCCTCTGTCTTCACGAACAAGGTCAGCTCCCAGACTACTGCACTGGGCAGCACAGCATGGGGAGGAGGTGACCAGCCCTTTGTGGAGAAAGAAGTGGTTTGTGACTATTTAGAAAAGCTGGATGAGCACAAATCCATGGGGCCGGATGCGCTGCATCTGAGGGTGCTAAAGGAGTTGGCGGATGTGATTGCAGACCCATTGGCCATTATCTTTGAAAACTCATGGCGACTGGGGGAGGTCCTGGATGACTGGAAAAAGGCTAATGTAAGTGCCCATCTTTAAAAAAAGGAAGGAGGAGGATCCGGGGAACTACAGGCCAGTCAGCCTCACCTCAGTCCCTGGAAAAATCATGGCGCAGGTCCTCAAGGAATCAATTCTGAAGCACTTAGAGGAGAGGAAAGTAGTGATCAGGAACAGTCAGCATGGATTCACCAAGGGCAAGTCATGCCTGACTAACCTAATTGCCTTCTATGAGGAGATAACTGGCTCTGTGGATGAGGGGAAAGCAGTGGACATGTTATTCCTTGACTTTAGCAAAGCTTTCAATACCGTCTCCCACAGTATTCTTGCTGGCAAGTTAAAGAAGTATGGACTGGATGAATGGACTATAAGATGGATAGAAAGCTGGATAGATCTTCAGGCTCAATGGGTAGTGATCAATGGCTCCATGTCTAGTTGGCAGCCGGTATCAAGCAGAGTGCCCCAAGGGTCGGTCCTGGGGCCGGTTTTGTTCAATATCTTCATTAATGATCTGGAAGATGGTGTGGACTGCACCCTCAGCAAGTTTGCAGATGACACTAAACTGGGAGGAGTAGTAGAGACCCTGGAGGGTAGGGATAGGATACAGAGGGACCTAGACAAATTAGAGGATTGGGCCCAAAGAAACCTGATGAGGTTCAAACAAGGACAAGTGCAGAGTCCTGCACTTAGGACGGAAGAATCCCATGCACTGCTACAGACTAGGGACTGAATGGCTAGGCAGCAGTTCTGCAGAAAAGGACCTAGGGGTTACAGTGGACGAGAAGCTGGATATGAGTCAACAGTGAGCCCTTGTTGCCAAGAAGGCTAACAGCATTTTGGTCTGTATAAGTAGGGGCATTGTCAGCAGATCAAGGGACGTGTTCATTCCCCTCTATTCGACATTGGTGAGGCCTCATCTGGAGTACTGTGTCCAGTTTTGGACCCCACACTACAAGAAGGATGTGGAAAAATTGGAAAGAGTCCAGCGGAGGGCAACAAAAATGATTAGGGGGCTAGAGCACATGACTTATGAGGAGAGGCTGAGCGAACTGGGATTGTTTAGTCTGCAGAAGAGAAGAATGAGGGGGGATTTGATAGCTGCTTTCAACTACCTGAAAGGGGGTTCCAAAGAGGATGGATCTAGACTGTTTTCAGTGGTACCAGATGACAGAACAAGGAGTAATGGTCTCAAGTTGCAGTGGGGGAGGTTTAGGTTGGATATTAGGAAAAACTTTTTCACTAGGAGGGTGGTGAAGCACTGGAATGGGTTACCTACGGAGGTGGTGGAATCTCCTTCCTTAGAGGTTTTTAAGGTCAGGCTTGACAAAGCCCTGGCTGGGATGATTTAGTTGGGAATTGATCCTGCTTTGAGCACGGGGTTGGACTATATGACCTCGTGAGGTCCCTTCCAACCCTGATATTCTATGATTCTATGACTGCCAAACCATGGGAGGTCAATGCAGAGTACCAGCGGGTCTCCATAGGTGTGGGAACTAGTAAATTATTATCTGTTTTCAGAAGCTCATAACTTTCTGGAAAATATTTCTTTCCAGCTCAAATTTTACATGCATAGGTTAGCCCCAACCTACAGATGGAGTTCTAAGGAAAGTTTGGGGGGGGGGGGAGTTCTCCTGCTTATGAGTTATGAAAGGTGAAAAAAACCTCATACTTTTCCCAAATTTAAGTAATCTGAGATATACTTTTCCTCTTACAACTAAAACAAAACAAAAAACAGACAAAACTATAATCTGAAATGTTCATGTTAACTAGTCCTCAGTAAGGATGAAGCCCTTATGTTATTTGAAAAAAAAAAATTAAGTCAATTATATACACGTACAGTGGAAATTTTTGTTACTGTGGGAGCTACTATGCTAACTGCAGCTCTACATTAACATACTAATTAGTATCTTTGCAGATAAAATGGATTCTCTACTGAAATCTTAATTCTCCTGTGGAGCAAATGAGCTCTGCAGGAGGGAGCCCCTATTCTGAAGAGTTTATAAATCAGTGTAAGGGTCAGTTTTACAATGTTGAAAGCAACAGAGCTTATAAGCTCTCCAAGATCAATAATTTCCGTTGAAAGAATTTATAAATTCAATCAACAAATCCATGGATGTGTAAACTCTACAAGCCTAACGTGCGCCAAATTTTTCTTGTTTTTTTTTGTTTTGTTTGGTTTCCTCTGTTTTGGGGCTGGTTATTTATTTATTTTTGGTAAAAACCGGCAAATTAAAATACAAAATCTTAATGATTAAGAACCTAAGTGTTAAAAATTAAGAAAATAAAAGTTACTGTATTCATGTTATCCATGCCATGTTACATTTACATTGCATTTAGCACTCCTGTGTTGCTTTTAAAATTAGTATATTAATATACTGTCATTAAATATATACGGTATTCAGATTTTACTCATGACGTGTCAACATTACTATAAAAACTGTAACTTGATTTCTTGCCATGAGAGTTTAAAATGCATACCTTAACTATTGATATACAGTTTGTATAGGTATGAACGTGAATTCACACTAGAAAAATCCCCTTCTGAAGGGCAACACTGATTTAAACATAGTAATGCTGAAGTCAATTTTAGTGAAAAAGCATCTTTCTGTTCAATGGAAAATAAACCTTTCTGAGGAAAGAGAGAAAGCTAAACCAGATCAACATACATTGAGGTGATTGTGTAAGCAAATAAACGTGTTTACAGTTACCTGTCACTGAGGTGGAGGAAACTGCTGCTCTCATCGGGATGTTCATCTTCAAAGCTTAGATTGGACCAGCTGCCAGTGCTATCATCACCAATACTGAGACTCATCTGCTGGCTAACTATAGATTCAGCTGAGTGAAACCCTTCTCTTCCCATAGAACTAAACAAAAATGAAGATGACAGCATTACTAGGTGTATTTCACATTGTTCTGCAAAAATTCACTGAGCCTAATTAGCAAAGCAGGGGACATTTGTCAACTGACTCAACTATTCCCTTTTGGATTTACAATTCTCAGAGACTATATATTACACTTTTGTAAGGAGATTCAAGTCTGGGAGCACCACTTAGGACCATCTTTCACTGGGGAAGTTGGGCAGTAGCATGGACACAAACCCTAATTTGAAAAACTAGTTTGTAGCATTCCAGCATTGGCAGAACCCTAGTGCCTGGGCAGTTCAGTCTTGTAGACTTCACATTTACTACAGTGACTACACCTACACAGGGAGGACCTGGCATCTTTGGACTTGTCTGCACGACAAAATGTTAGCTAAAATTTCCCAGTGTCGCTCTGACCAATTCAGCTTCATCAAGGCTAACACAGTCACTGGCATTTTAAGCACCCTGTCATACAGAACTGCACAAGGGTAGACAACATGATGCTTAAAATGCTGGTGGCCTCCTACAGCCCTCTCTGTATTAGAAAAAATGTCCTAGTGTAAACATAGGCTTAGTCTCCCTGTTTCAGAAAAAATAGGCATGTCCATTTATTTATAGACTTTTCCCCTCTGCACAAGAAGCCTGAAAAATCTAGACTTTCAATACCTAGAACCAACTCAAGTGAGCAGGCTTAATTTGCATTAAAGGTATTTATAAAACCCTTCATCAGACCCATTCTAACAACACAAAAGAAAACTGAGGTCATTTTGAAAAGTGGTTCAGTCTGAAAATTTGCCTGGCAAGTGCATATAAACTACTCTTAGGGACATATTGTGGCTGCCCATGTGCAGCTGTGCTATGGCTAGAGGGTACAGAAAGTCCTATTTGCTCACCAACCCTTCAAAGGAAACAGTCGTAATACGGCTGCTGTGTTCACAAAGTACGAAGATGACCATGATTGTGCTACAGGCAACACTTCACATTTTAAATGGGGTATGTGTGGTTCTGAGGTGTGGCAAGAGTCCTTTTCCACAACATTAGCTAATACCATCAGGTGAGTGCTATGAGGGGAAGGAGGGAAAAGGGAGAGACAGGCAGACACACACACTTTTTATACCGTGTACTAAGTACAAATGATGAATATGCTCCTCACAGCAACCTTTGGAGTCCGTATATCTTATAGAGCCACAATGTCTCCCTCTGACACTACTGGACTGGTGCATAGCTGCTTCTCCAATCCATCATTCTCTTGGGCTCTCAGCACCATAATTAAACTTGAAACTTTACATGAAGTTTTGATTAAAAAGCTGCATTTCTGAACCTCTGGCTGAAAAGTGACATTTCTGACATCAACAGTATAAGAACTCAACAGCACTTTATTTATAAGGTATATTCTCATTTAATATTACATGTACTCTGAATAAGGATTCCAAATAACCTAAGTACAAGGGCCAAGTAATATGAATTCTCAGTCTTCTATCTTTATATGCTACAGGGAACTTTTAGTGGAAGGTCTATACTAGAAGGCAATCAAAAAAGGACAGGAAAAGTTCCTTGAGTTTTGGTAGCAGTTCTGTGAGAATGAAAGATCTATCTTTTAGAATATAAGCTCTTCAGGGCAGAAACCATAATTTATTATGTGTTTATACACATCATAATTTTGCCTTGAAAAACTGGGAGTAGCCTGGTTGGAGCCATTAGGCACCACCACAGTACGTTAACATATCCAGGTATTTACATTATACATCACCAGACCATCTCAGAGTCAAGCAAATAAAACATAGTTTATTGCCAAGCAGATCTCACTCCAAGGCCATGATGAGAGAAATACATTGTTATTAATTATTACTCAGTGAAAAACTACGCTGAAGAGATAGGTCTTGCACTTGGACATGTAAATGGTGTTATTTGAAGTCACTCTGATCTTTGTAAAATCTATTTTCATTAAGAACTAGATGTTAATGTACCTTCTCATTTACTAATTCAACCACATTCAGTGCCATCTTCTATCAAGATATTTAAAGACATTCATTTCTTTCAATATACCTAAAAAATATGGTATAGTTTAAGGACTTGTAATACATTAGTCCTTATCAACAATGTAGCAAGAGCCTGCAAACCAGTTTCTAGTCTGCTTTAATGATCCTTTATCAACTAAAATCATATATAAAAATAAAATCATTCTTATTTAATATTTATTTCATATTTCTATTTTCAAATATACACAATTTTTTTCTTCCAGAAATTAAGACCGTGTTAAAGTGCAATTACAATCAAAATAGACTATGTAAACACCTACTTAATGTAATACGTTTGCTCTTGGTGTACATTGCATGTCACAGATTCTGTAAGTCAGTACTTTACAGCTAATGCAGCTATAGACAGAATTGGATTATACTGTGGCTCACAGATCAACTGAATTGTCAACTAAATTCCAGTAATTTATATCACTGATAAAACAATCTGATCAGGATGTTAGAGAAAACAAATCACAGAATCCCATTTACCAGAGTCACCCATCAGAGCATAAGTACATTCTAAAGTAGGCTAGAAACTAGTTTGCACTGACATTGAGCTCCTGTAACTGACAAGATCATTATTATTAAAAAATTCCAAACAGCCTGGAGGCCACCAGCAGGAGGTTCCAAAGTAAACTTTATAATTTAAAATTATATTTTCAGAATGTAATTGTGGCAAAAAGTGCTTCTGACCATATACATTTTCAGATTAATAAATTAAGCAAAGTGGGTGCCATTTTCTGGTAACAATAGCAAGAGAATAAGAGGGAGAGAATGTAATGTTACCTTATGTTAACAGCCTGACCAATATTAGTCATAGCTGAAGTCATTATTTCTGTAGTAAGGCTTTCAGCAAAGCTGACTCCACCATATCCAATACCACTATCAGCTGTCAGACTTGTGTTACTCAGCTCTCTCTCTGCTTTCTCAATAGCTGCACCAACCACCTTCTCAGAAAATACTGTCTTCTGTTCCATGTCAATGTGAATTTTGGGAATATCAAGGTGAAAAATTCTTGATTTTTGACAGACACCACCCAACCCTGAATTGGGGATCTGCCTGATTCTAGGGAGGGGTTCTTGTCCAGGCAGGTGTGGAGATGAACTTCCAGTACAATACTGATATTCCTTCATACTACAGTATCTGCAGGCTGTTCCAGAAAATGGAGACAACTTTTCTGTGTAAGTGAATCTATCCCCATTTTTTCTGTTTTCAGCAGCTTGGAGAACAGCAGACTCCAAACTCATTTCTAAGGTGTCATCCACTACTTTTCTAGCATACTCTTCTATAGCTTGAATGATGCCTTCTCGGTAGCCATATTCATTTAAATTGCCTGTGCTATGATACAGTTTATGTTTTTGTGAGAAAGGAAGAACCGTTTTAGACAGTGTTGTTTTAAGGCGGTCCCCTGTGGCTTCATCAAATTTAGATTTTCTATACAGACAGGAATCTGTTAAGGATTTTGGCAAGCAAACTGCTGACATTTTCAGTTTTCTTCTGACATCACATGTTATACGATGAGCAAGGGATTCAGAAAAATGTAACAACTCTGTACCTTCAGTTCTGTGTACATTGTTTATTTCACAGGCTTGGCCTCCACACCTATGAACACCACTTTTCATTTGCCATTTTGTATCCATATCTTTGTTCAATATTTTGAACAGCTCAAGCCTACCATTTACCTGTGTGTTCTGTACAGGAAATATTCTTCTGTTGTATGTCAGTTTGATTTTCCTGGCAGCTTGTTGTAGGCCTGATTTTATAGATCTATAAGCAAGTCTACTAGCATACTGATCCATTATTAACTCACTGTTGCCACCTTCCCTTTTCAGAACTCGAATGATGTGATCTGCATATTCATCGGTCACGCTCTCACAGCTTGGATACCTGTAAGTCAGACCGGTTGTTCCTAAACTCTGAGGTAAAGAAAGTACGGATGAATCTACCTCTCTGGACCACTGGTTTACTACCGGACACCACCCCTCTTTTGACCTACAGTCTCTATCATCTTTTCTGAGAGAAAGACAATCTACATGACAGTTAACCCGCTTCAACCTCAGCAGCTTGCAATGCCTTGATTTTATCATCTTCTTAGCCTCACTGATAACCTTTCCAGCCATATCACCTGCATAATTCCACAACGAATGTAAAGTTTCTTCTGGGATATTTATAAAGGCAGTATACCCACATATTTTGTTTTGTGCATTTAATTGGCAGTGTCTGTCAGCTTCTCTTTTAATTGTTTTATCATCTAAATGGGAAGCAGCCATTTCAGTTGCCATAGAAATGATATGACCAGCTAAATGATCAGCATACTGTACTGTTTTCTCTGAATGTTCAGTTTTCTCCACAAGCATTTCAGAGTGTTCTTCGTCTTCACTGCTTTCAACTTCTTCAGAAAGTGATCGCATGAGTTTCAGCATAAACTCTTCCTTTTCCAAGGAGTCATGTTCAGTTGCAGACAAGGCAGCAGCAGATGAGTTATAAGGTGTAGAAGGTGGTGTCGCAGGTGCAAACTCCTTTGCTAATTCTCCCTTGAGTTTCTTGGTTAGCTTCCTTAGGTTCCATTCAGAACTAGTCTGAGATGGTACTAAAGGAGTTGGTGGTGGTGTATCAGGTACTGCACAGACATTTCCATCTCTGATGCTTGATTTATCTTCCATCTGAAAAGAATCTTCACAGCCAAACATCACCAAAGAAAGGTTACTTGCATGTAGAAAACAGCTCTCCTGCCCAAAAGCTGAAGGAGCTAGCGTTGTTTTTTGCATATCATGTTTTTTCAATAGTTTACTTTGGGATTTTATTGAACAGCTTCCTGAATCAGTAAACTCTTCTACATTACACCTAGCGAGAGTCACAGTAGGACAAGGAGGTGGAGTGCTTGAAGAAAACCTACGTACTTCATTTCCTTTACGTTCCTGAACACAATCTTTAGGTACTGAAAGTAAACACTGAGCAGAGTCAACTGACGTAACAAGAAAATTAGGTGGGTTATTCAGAGGCAGCTGTTGCGGTTCCACAATTATAGGAACACATCTGTGATTCTCAGATTCTTGTTTCTTTACTGCACTACGCAGTTCTTTTTTACAGTTATCTGTGTTCATCTGTAAGCCTCCATTACATTCTACAGTCTCATTTGTGTGGGAGAATATAGATTTAGTTTCATCTACAGACTGTTTTACAATATACTTGGACAAATGATCAGCAAAAGTATTCTTAGGGATATCTCCACCAACACGCTGACAACGAGGTGTTTTTCTAGTTACAAAATCTGTATATTCCTCCACTGTTTTGGTAACCCCAGATGAGGTTATTGCTTCATACGCCTCATTTACTATCATATCTACCATTGTTCCAGAGAAACTGTTGATGCTTGTTGGCCCAGTTGTTAAATCTGAAATATTATTCACTCCGGGATTGTTGTTTGTTTGTTTGAAATCATTCTGGTTAAAAAAACATTGCCCACTACTTTCACTGTGATCTGCAGTCAGGTAAATATTTCTAAGAGAAGCCACTTCCTCTTCTCTCTTTTTTGTTGTAAAATATGGCTGTGTAGCGTCTTTGTACATTTTCAGACTGCCATCTGCTGTCGGACAAGTCCATACTTTTGCCTTATAAACATCAGATGAAGTCTGATGTTGACAAAGTGCTGTTCCAGCTAAGGGCACTGGTATTGAACTTACAACACCAGAAGTACAAAACAAGGCTTGTTGTACAGTATATTCTTTTCCAGTTTCTTGTATTGGATTCAATGCTAAAAGTGCATTATCATGAAAATTAGGAAAAGTAGTGGTAGTCTGTGTTGACTGCAATGTACTTTCTGCACTTACATATTTTATGTTGTCCATGGAAACACTAATTGCTGCTTGCGTTGTGAAGGTAACATCAACCTGGGATAATTCAATGAAAGCTTCCTGAATGACAGATTCAGACAAATCTTTGGCATATGATCTCACTACTTTGTCTTCATAATCAAAGGGCCAATCCCGTGCAGTCGTTGGTGTTGATGGATGTGAAAACTGGCAGACTTCCATGATTCCCTCAAAAATAAGTTCCTCAGTGAGGTCTGCTGCAAATCTTGCAACTGTGTTAGTAAATATTTGTTTCTTTACGTATCGCATTTCTTTTAAAGCACTTGTTATAGCTTCACTGACCATAAAGCTTGCTAGCCCATTAATGGCACGTTCCTTCAGTGACAAGGCTCGCCGCCTTCCTATCTCATAAAAAGCCATTTGAAAGACTGAAGAAGTCAATCTAGCAGCCAAGTGACACAGTGCATTGGTGCATGAAGAAACTCCTTTTTGTAAGTCTTTAAATGCACTACCAAAACTTTTTTCAACCAGTTCTGTTGCAAATTTTTGTATGCTGTCTTTAATCATTAGTGATTTGTGTTTAGATTTAACTTTCTTATCTGGCTTGTCAGAAGTTTTCCTCTGGAGTTCTGCATTTTGACCTTTTCCCTCTTTTGAGACAATCCTATTAAGGCTGGAAATGTTTTCAGCATGTTTCTGTAGTGATGTAGACGGAGAATGAAAAACAGAACCCAGTATTTCAAATGAAACACTGTTTGCATAATCTGAATATTCACTATAAAGTGTATCATGATTTTGATTAAGCCCATCTCCATTGATATCCATCCGACAAAGACATTCAGTTGAAGCACAGTTCCCTAGTGGGCTGAAAGCTGATGATCTTATAGGGCTGAACAAACTTCCATTGTCTTCTCCTGTTTTCACTGGCCGAGGGGAGTCTGGAACATCAAAGAGGTTGCTATAGGGCGATTCTGGTTTACGAGGAGTTGGCTTCCTTACATTGGCTGGAAGAGTGGGACGATCAAACTTGAATTTTTGAGGATTCATAGTAGTAGTTTTAGAATACAATTGTTCAAGGGCAATCTTTCTCTTCTGGGGTGGGTTACCAAGGATGGGATCCCTTATAAGTTTACAAGTACTTTCCAGAGTCTGTTCCAGTTCATCAAACTGATCAAAACTATCAAAAAATTCACTTACTTCTGAGTCTGAGTCCTCTATACCATCTTTCACTACTGGAATTTTTGGTAGCTGAAGTTTTGCCTTCAAGCTTTTTTGATACCCTTCTTCATCTAAGAAGATAACAGGGCTAGGGCTGGAGCAATCTGACTCAGATGATTCAGCAGGAGAGGAAGAAAACAATGTTTTATGCAAAACATTAACATGTTGATCAGAGGAATTACATGGCTTGTAAAAACTCCTCTGTATCCAAGGATCAGAAATAGAGGTTGTGACTGAATTCTTTACAGATGAAGACAGTTCTTTAAGTCCCAAGATATTTATCAGAGAAGCAGAAGATTTGGCAGATGATTTTCGACGCCCAGAGCTCACAATGATCTTTGAGTCAATAGCTTCTAAACAATGAGCAGGGATGGTCTGTGAAGCAGCATCCCGGAGATTCTTAGTAGTATAGGTTGTACCTAAAAAGAAAAAGAAAATATTTTTAAAAAAAAGAGACTAAAATAGCAAACTGGGTAATTGATTTTGATAGCAATATCTAGATTTGTAATTATTACAATAGGTTAGAGGGTCTTTTAAGACTAGAGAAAATTTTAAAGAATAAAGTATTCCATAAGCACTTTTTTTTGTCAATGATAGTTCCCCTACTACTGCAGGTCTTCTTCTTAGCATATGCGCAATGTGCCTCAGGTGGCGCATGGCCAGGATTCTTCACGGAATTTGGTCCACTGGTTGGATCATTAGCTTCCCCAGCCCGGGCTGGGTACTGATGAGGAGTGTGAAGTGAATGGGACTAAGAGCTCTTGCCTTCATATCACAGATTCTACTTTTTCTGGATCTGACACCGAGTTAAAATCTTTGCTTTATGTCACATGCATGCTGATGTGGAAAGAATGGTGAAATCTCAATTTTTTTTTTTTTTTTTTTT